GATTCGGACCAGCAGTCAGAAGCATATCACGAAGAACCTTTGCATCAGTTTCCACAATAACCTTTTTTAACCTCAAATCTTCCGCAATAGATAATCCATCATTTATGGCATATAATTCAGCCAATAATGGAGAAACAACATCATACTTGCAGGAGAATCCAACATACCAAGAGCCATCAGAACGCCTTATCACCCCTCCTCCCGATGAAACAGCAGAATTTAACCAAGCACCATCTGAATTAATTTTGAAGTAGCCTTCCTTTGGAGGCTCCCACTGAGAGCCTGAAGAAACTTTGTCCTTCCCTTTCCTGTTCCTTGTTTCCTGTAAGATTGAGTTTGAAATTTTAAAGTCAAAGAAGAATTTAGTGAAGAGAGAAACTGGACCTATTTGTTTTCCATCAAAGATCGTGGAATTTCTATGTAGCCAAAGATGCCACAAGGCTGTAACAAAAATCAATTTCCATTCTTTATCCAAACCAAGATTATAATTTATCCATATCTTCCACGAAGAATTTTAAAAATATTGAAATCAAAATTTTTTGGAAGATAAACCTTTGCAAATATATCATTCCATAAGATCGAAGAGGAGAAGCAATCTCTAAAGATATGAATGTGAGATTCCGAATAAAGATTGCATCTAGAGCATATGGGAGAAATCAAAGGCATAAAATTGGCTAGAGTTTCAGCTACTGGCAGAATAGTATGAGCACAATTCCATAAGAACATTCTATATTTGAAAGGAACATGAATCTTCCAAATACTTTTCCAGGAATTTATGTTAGAGGAAACAATACATTTTCCTTTCAAGAGGAAGTGATAAGCTGATTTAACATTGAAAATACCATCCTTGCTTAAATCCCAAGTAATAAAATCTTCCATATCACTATATTTAGGCAAGGGAGTAGCCTTGATCATATTGATCACATGGTGAGGAAGAAGGTGCTCAATATCCTTTAAATACCAAGCCCTATTCCTTATTATATTTGAAACCATCCAGTGATTCATATGAGGTAGGATAGAACAATTAATTACATCTTTCAATGGAGAACTTCCAACCCAATGATGATGCCATAGCAAAGTAGAAATTCCATTTCCTATACCCACCCTTAGACCTGAGGCTAATAATTCTCTCCCCTTCAAAATGTCCTTCCAAATTTGAGAATGATTAGGACTAGCATGACATTCAAAAAGACCCTTCCTCTTTAAATATTTTTCATTAAAAATCCTTACCCATAACTTATTTGGCTTAGTGAGAATATTCCATCCTAACTTAGCCATAAAAGCTATGTTCCACAATTTTAATCTCCTTATCCCTAGCCCTCCAATTTCCATAGGCTTAGTTATATGACTCCAACCTAACCTAGATGAATATTTGGTTTTATCAACTTTATTCCACAAAAATTTACGACAATTTCTCTCAATATCCTCACAAATCGACATAGGAAGGATGCTAGTCTGCATTAAATAAACAGGGAAGGAAGATAGCACGGATTTAACCAAAGTACATCTTCCTGCCATATTCAATAGCTTGGATTGCCAACCTTTAATCCGATTAAAAGTTTTATCAAGCAACCCAAAATAATCACATTTTTTTAATTTATTGGGATGAATTTCAACTCCTAAATATTTACCAAAGGAAGTAGTGGAAGTGAAATCAAACTCTGTAATTAAATCTTTTCTTATATTATGACTCATTTTCTTAGGGAATATAACAGTAGATTTACTTTGATTGACTCTTAAACCCGAGATATCCCCAAACTCCAGTAAAACTTGCATGATGATTTTAATATTATTCTTAGAAGCTTGGCCAAAAAGGAACATCATCCGCATAAAAAATGTGAGACAAAGAGATGGATTTAGTTACCTTAATTGGCTTCCAGAGTTTCCGATTAACTTTGTCTTCTATCATAAGAGATAATCTTTCTAAGCACAAAACAAAGATATAAGATGACATGGGGTCACCTTGTCTAATCCCCCTTGATGGCTTAAACTCTGTAGTTATTTCCCCATTCCATAAAACCGAAATTTGTGGCGAAGTGATGCAAAACATAATCAACTTAACAAAATTAGTAGGGAAATTAAACCCAATGAGGGTTTCTTCAATGAAATTCCATTCAAGGCTATCATAAGCCTTAGTTAAATCAAGTTTGAGAGCCATAATATTCTTCCCTACCCTAGCCTTATGGAACATATGAGATATTTCTTTAATAATGATAACATTATCCTCAATCCCCCTCCCTTGAATAAAACTTGATTGTAAGGGACTAATTAAATTATTCAAAAAAAATCTAAGCTTTGTGGAAATAAGCTTAGTAATTAATTTATAAACTGTATTACACAGCCCTATTGGCCTAAATTGAGTTAAATTTTCTGGATTTTCAACTTTTGGAACATTCAAGCTTAAAATGGAGCAATGTTTAATTAAATAAGGTTATAAATGAAGATTGCCGTCCTAGGCAAAGGCAACCCATAACAAAAGTTGCAGGGTGTCAAGTACAAAGTACTTGGGACACGAATTGATGAAGTAGTCTGCTGTACTCATCATTGCATAAATATTTGCATTTCCTCCCTCTAAAGTTATTTCAGGCAACTCTGCCACCTCATTATTGGCTGAATATCTTCAATGTAAAAACAAATTTCAACAGATAAAAACAAATACTGTATGATACAATTAACAGTCAGTTTACTTTATCATTTTTTATGTAACCAAATAATACAAATTTCTCTGTTTTTGTCCCCATTGTTGCAATGTTTCTTAAATAAATCATTTTTTTCTAAGCATTAGGTATTTACCTGACTACGTGAGCCTTTTTTTTTTTTTTGAATAGATTATTCTTTCTTTTAAGTTAGAAATGCGCCATTATTCTGCACCAAAAAAAAAAAGAAAAAAAAAATGTGTCGTTATTACAATTAATAATTTCTCTTATTAGCTGGCCATATTATTATATTTTTTGATAAATTTTACGAGTAGTAGTCTAAGACTATAAAAATCAAATTAATTATAGGGCCTTAAGGAGAATAATCAAACTTGAGACCTAAAGAGCTCAATTTATACCCAAAATCAGCTCAGCCAAAATAAAATCAATAAAATTTTATGTCAACATTCAATAGATAACCAAAATTAAGGGGGTGGCCGAGGCCCATTCTAGCCCCCCTTGGTATGCCTTGCATAAGAAGTGACAATTAAGAAAACCAACGAGATTAATGTCAAGATCTCATTCACATTTGATCACAATACAATCATATATTTAATTGATAATGAAAGTAAAATAAAAGTTCATTTCTTATTTCGGTTCACAAAAGTTGGCATGAGTCTCCATTCAAAAAAAAAAAAAAAGTTGGCATGAGTCTCAACTCCCAAGTAGTTGGAGAGTAGGTGGGACCATTCTAAAGCATTCTTGTACAAAGAAAAACAATTGACAAATCATGAATTAGTAGCCATTAATTTCGTTTAAGTATTGGTTAATTAGATGGTAGTTGGTTGGAGATAAGTTATTAATGTTTAAAAGCATAATTAGTCGGCAAGAATTCCTATAGTGGTATCAAACACATACTTTTGAATCACCCTCACTTGTAAATGTGATAGTACGTTGTTTTGGATTATTATGACCAATTCTACCAAATGATAATTATGATGGGTGATTAACACAGTTTTATATCAAACGGAAGTCATTAATTTGTATCACTCCGTCATTATTGTTTAGGTTTTCAGGTCTTTCTTATTCCTATTTAAGGTAGTAAATATAGTATTTATTATATTACTACTTCTTTGACCACAACTCATACTTACTATATATATATGGTTGGATTAGAAAAAAGGCAATTGGATAACCTACAATTCTAACATCAAACTACCTCTTCAAAACTTGTTGCTTATTTAGGACTTTGCTATATTCCCAGCTTTTGCAAATGAATAACTAATGGATTATTGCAAGCTGAAAAAAAAAACCCTAATGGCCCTAATAAATTGCAAGTTTGTATTCATTATATAGAAATATAAAATTGCCTATCGCACTATTTAAATACGAAGTACAAATTTTCTTTACTTGTTTTTTATAAGTTGTGATGAGTAAATCATCAATATAGTCATATAGACGATATAGTACACACATCAAACATGATGCCTAGGGGAGGAGAACTAGAAATAAAGCCAAGTCATTAAAATTCATAAGCTGATACAACATGCTTCTAGCTATTTAATGGTGATAAAGGACAATAGTAATAATAAATTATAGTATATGTATGATTTGTATGAATGTATGGTGTATAATTTTGCAAAAAAGTTTCATGTCAATCATGTTTGATACAACTCCTAAAATACATACATATATCTTCTCAAACACTTACTTCTAAGGTAATAATCAATATACTTAAGAGAAACAAAATTGACAAAGAGTTCATCAAACGAAGGCAGAAATTAGTCAATTACTCTGTCAAAAAAAGGGGGGAAAAAAGAGTAACAAAATTTTTCTAGTTTTCTCAATATATCCTTGAATCATAGGAATTGAAGATGATAAACAACTTTCGTGCAAGATCCATTGTGCTTGCATCAGAATTACCCTAATGAGTTAAGGTTGTTGCTTCTTTAGAGAAAAGGTTAGAGTAAAAATGACTACGAATGACTAACTATGTAACAAACTTTCAACCACCTTCGGTACTTCGTACTATTTTTATCAAGGCAAACTATGTCCTGAATCGATGCCCCATGGTCGATTGTGGGTTTATGGTACAATTAAGGCTATTATCGTCAACCAAGGGGTTGGAACTTGGAATCCTTTAGGAAGCATATTTGGCTAATTATAGGATTTTATTCACAAATTTGGTATAAGGGCTATAGTGTGCTGTGTGGAAGAAAGGAGCAATGGGCCATGGGTTGGATCCTGCCACTCCGGAGTAGGCAGAAAGCCCAAGGATAGTCTACAAACCTATATACGAGTATAAGGCTCATTTTGTTCGAAATTAATTATCACGTGATCATATTTATTCAACCTTTTTGATAATTGAGGTCTTGAAGACATGCCACATATTATAAATGTCCATCAAAGTCAAAAAATATAAAACACTATATTGATATTATAACAATCCTAAACCCAACAAAGGTAATTTTGTAACCTCAGCAGAAGCCCTTATAAATACAGGACATTTGCAAATTGCAGCACCTAATCTAATTCATAAAAATGAAAGATCAAGAAGGAAGGTAAGAGGTTCACCATGTATTCATGTTACAGTGGGCACATTAGAACATCCTTGAGAGAACAAAAATTTTACGACAATCTAACTAAGAATTTCTTTGATTTTGATCTTCTGTTCTTCTGTTAATGAAGTTGGAAACAAAACTTCAAAGGTGACATAGAGATCACCTTTCTTGTTGCTCAAATACAGTGGCATTCCTTCTCCTTTAAACTTCCTCACTTCCTTGGGCTTTGTAATACCCTGAACATCATTCAGAATTTGCCAAGTTAGTGCCTCGACAATCATAATAATATTTGGAAAAATTCAAATGGTTCCGCTAATCAATTCACAACAGCTTAAAGTATTAATATTATTTCAATGTTGTGGGTGAGTTTGATTTGTGCAGAAAATATGAAATACTGGTACTAACTTCCTCAAATATGTCATTAGACTAGCTCAGGTAAGTATGGAGTATTAATAAAAGGGAACCGAGCAGGGATTGTTGATTAGTGTAGCGAGTATGACATAACTTTCTGGAATACAGTACTTTGACTAATGAAGAAAGTATAGGATTAGGTAAACAAAGTTACAATCTGGAACTCGTTCAGTACGAGAAATCAAGAATAACTGAAGCAAAAACCAAGTTATCGAACTCTCACCTTTGAACTGATGTTTACCAAATGTTCATCAAGGTGTTTAATACTCTTCTCAAATCCAACAAGAGCTTGAACCTGAAAATGCAAAGTAAATAAGCCATGAAATCAAAAAAGTGTGGGGTGGCACCGTGGCAGGGTAAAAAAAAAACCACCACTAGTTTCAAAAAAATAACGCCTGTCCAAATGGCCCTAACACGATATTAGGCCAGAACCACCAGATAATCACAGAGAAATATCAAGAGAGGGGAAGAAGAGAGAATGAGAGAGGTGGCAGAATGGAACGGAAAGGTAAAAAAATTCCCAGTACTAAGTTACTGATAAGTTGATAGAGGGCATAGAGGATTAGAATTATTAGTTATAAATCCTCGACTGTTAATATACAATGAAACAAAATATCAGACTAACTCCTTGCTAGACAATAATCTACATTCCATACAAAAAGGTAGTACTTACCAAAGTTATCGTAACAGTTGTTCGCAAGTCATTCCCATCCCTGTTGAAAACATCATGGGGTGCTGTACGGATACGGAACTGCAGAACAGGATTTAACAATTAATATGTGGTTATGTATTATGGTAAACTCTCACGGAGAATTTCTTTAAAGATGATTCACACTGCAAACATAGTGCTTTTAATTGGGACAATTAGAAAGAACTTGTTATCTAGAGTATCTTCAACAACATAAAAACTTTACCTTCAAATCCCCAGCTTCTCCGTCTATTTTGGGCTCACCATCTTCATAGAAAGATATTTCCTACAAAACATAAATGTACAAGATACAATTTGTTAGGCAGGATAATTCAACCTTCTAATAAATTAACAATTGACCAAAGGGGTTAAGGGGTGTTTGGAATGAGGAGGAAGTGTCAATTATAAACCTTTCAGACAGGTAGGTCCAATCAATTTCATATTAGGTAATATGAGATTTAGGTTAAGCTGTTAAGTTATTCCCTAGTACGTTAAATTTTGAAAAACTCTGGCTTAATCCCACAATATAATGTTACAATTCCAAGTTGAGTCAACTCTAGATGGGTCTAATTGTTTGTTACAGTATAACTAATATATGCCCATGATCTATCCATTATCTTATACTTCCTCCGTTCTATTAATATTGCAACAATGAGAAAATTACGCATCCCAAAGCACATTTTATATGATAAATATCTATAATTCTGTAAAAGTAAAAATTATAAAAAGTTAATATTGTGAAAGTATTTTATGAGACAAATCTAACAAGATCCCGCATGACTATACTTTGCTTAACGTAAAAATCATATTATATGGTCAAACAAGAGTGATGAATAGTGCAAAAAGTCCATTGTTGTAATATTAATAGAACGGAGGAAGTATTGTTTAAAAGTATCACTTTGTCCTTCATGGTTTCGTCCCTCACACACCAAGAATGAAAAGAGAAAAACAATCCGGCAATAATAGACTAGCTTATATATACAGCAATAATTATTAGGGAGGTGGTCCTTATTTTATGAGTTTTTCGCAAGTATGCTAATCCAGCTATTCAATCCTACCCTCGATATATTTCACATGAGTTGATATCTTATAATGGAGCCACTCAAGGAACCCAGGTGAGGGAACAAGTGCTTCACAAGAGTTTGAAAATGAATCGAGTTCAAAAGCAAGTCAAAATTATTTTCACTTGAATTTTTCCCTGCCGCATCCTCTTTCTTTCCTTCGATACAAGATTACCAAAATAACCTCTCTAGTAGTCACTAATTAGGTCTTTTTAGTGGACTATTACAAGACAAGCTAAGTAGATATATAGAATGCTCAAAAGGGGCTTTGGCTGTGAGAAATTGAAATTTGATTCAACAACATGAGTCCATGGCCAAATACCCAAAGAAAGTTGTGCAATATAGTCCATGATGTGCTGATGATATTCAAGCCAGCATTGTAAAACATCATTTGATGAAGGATGAGGATTACAGTGCAGTTTCAATCAAAAGAGCCTTCCACAATATGCATGGTTCCCAATCCCAACCACTCAACAAAACTGCTTTTTATCATTGAACTATTTTAATTAAATGCTTTCCACAAGAATGGTGCTCCCAAGTATGATGCATAAAAACTTGCTCACATTAATAAATCAATAAAACCTTACTTGTCCATCTTTCATCCCTTTCTCGATATCTACTGTCAAGGAGTAACCTTCACGCTCATACTTTACATTTGGACACTTCTCACAGACCTGCAAACAGTGAGATGAGGCTATGTATTAATACGAAGTAATCGAAATAAATAAAATACAACCGAGAGTTTATAGACATATTAAGCTTTAAATACGCTGGATCATTATCATAAGTATGAACATCCACTAAAGAAAAAGCCTCATAAAAGCAGTTCAAGGACATAAATAGCTGGTATACCTGCTCCGTTATCTGCTGGTACATTCCTGGACCTATTTGGCGATGATAGACCTCATTACGACAGTTGCAGTCTCTTTTTCCTGATGCTGGCTTTATAACATTTTTCTCCCTCCACACCTGGAATAAATTATATAATTAAATCAATTAATGATCATCCCATTTTGAATAATACTATCAAACTCTCTTGTCTAGATTACAGAAATATCACTTCTCAAATCACCTGCAGGCATCCACTGCAAATGCATGGCAATGTCATTTATTTTAGAAAAAAATGAGATAGGACATGCTCTGGATATGTATTACTCCGTAGAACATAAGAGCAAATATGTAACAGCATGCCTAAGGCTGCTGGGATGATCTTTACAGCTTTGCTACAGTGACTTGCAAGCTTCAGGCACAGGAGGCAACTCACTTATCTTAAAACTAATTTATTCTCTGTATGACAGGGTATCATGAAATTTAGAGGGTCCCAACATCAGTAATGTATACCATGTCACTGTGTGTCTAATCTACAATAAAGAGAATTTACAGGAACGACTTTATTACTATTAAGTAATAACATATACGTTGTATGCGAGACTTGCTTCAGGTAGAGGTGTGCCTAAGCCTCTAGAATTAGGATAGATTTTAAAGTATTGTACTCGTATAAAAATGGAAACCAATAGAATGTAAGCTCCATAAAAAAAGGAGGGCTAGAGCTGAAGAAAAGGGTATTGTCATTACAAATTAATTAGCTTCATCCAAGAGAAGGCATATGAAACCACAATGGAAGGCAACAATGCATTATGGGTTCATCAGAAATACAACCTTGAGCAAGAAAAAGAAAATGAAAGAGAGCAAAACCTTCATGCTCTTCCACTAAACTTAATCCACAACTGCTAATTGAAAATTAACAATTTATAGCATGACTCATGTTTTTTGACATTTCCTAGTAGGAATAAGGGTTGTCTCTCTATCTTCATTTTTGCTATACAGTAACGTGACTGGCTCTTTCTCAATTCATGCAGCAATCAAGACTTTATAAGTTTATATATAACTAAGTTTATATATAGCATTACTGTTTCAGATAAATATACCAGCCTACCTTCATTGTGCCTCCCATGTACAGATCTTCCAACGATGCTTCTAATTCTACAATCACGTCATCCCCTTTCAATACTTTCTCTTCTTCCTCTTCCATACCTCCTCCAAAGAATCTAGAAGTACCAAAATTAGAAAAATTAGCTAACAGTAGATCGCACGGAAACGTATTAACATAACTAAGTGCAGATAGTAATGGAAGACATAAAAAAATAAATCAATGAATAAATAATCCCACACCATATAAATATGAGCTTTGCTGACAACAACCACAGCCCTAGACAGTTCTCATTATAGCAGGGTCCTATGTAAGTGAAACAAAAAAGTGCCAAACTCTAGCCGGTTTTGCAATTGTTGACTTACTACCAAATGAGAAAACCTTGACTAATTTAAGTTCCAGAAAAGAAAAGATTAACAAGGCTATTTCATATCTATTATAAAATCCAAAAATGAGAAGAGGAAACACCAACAAGAGTAAAAGGGACAAAATGCACATATGTTTTACAGAAAGTCAGAAACTGCTACAGTTGGTATTTTATGGATCATTACACTTCTTCACTGGTCATCGGAGAAGGGGGAGGGGAGTAGAAGGAAAAAGCCTACTGTGATCATAAAGAACGGTAATCTTAAAACTTCCTTTAATAAGATGCAATTTATAATTGCTCATTGCATTGGTTCAAGATTTCAAGCTAGCAATAAGATGTTTTTGGTAAAAACCAATCTTTACAATTTCAGTCTGATGATATATTGATATGAACCATTTTCATTAGTTTCATTTTGTCAAAAGGAACCAATCTTCACAAATCACATTGCTTCTTTTTTGTTAAAAGCTAATAGTTTCTTCATCCTAGTTTTCCTTTGTTTCCTCTTCCTTATAGAAATCTAACTTGTGCTAACAAAATTCTAGCCTGATAAGATGACAGTTGACCGGTTCAAATATTATGAAAATTCACTCCCCAATCACCCATACACTTCTTTCTAAATTGCAAGACTAAAAAAATGGTCCAGATCAACTATATGGCTCTCCTTCTTCCTATTCCTTCACAATTTCCAATTACAAAGTTCCCGTACCCAATATGTTGCACTGCACACTCACAAGTTTTCCAATACTAAGGAGAGTTCAATTGTAAACAACACAAGCCAAAGTTCATCTATCATCAACAGTCAAGACCCCTTTCTCTCCGATTTGTTAGCCAACAACCTATAAAGTAATTCTCAGCTTAAAAACTACTCTATCCAATTGTCCAAATCACGAAATCAAAGTTGTTCTCAGCAACACATAAATTTTTTATTTCCATAACGGATCGACAATTAAACCAACTTCAAGTCACTATGAAATTAGAATACAACATTAACATATAAATAATTAAATAAATTTCTGGAGGGGAGTGTCAAGGGGAAAAGGTGTGTCAACTTACTGGCTGAATATGTCCTGGAATCCTCCACCACCACCACCTCGGCCGCCACTTGCAGCATGTTGTTTTAGTCCCTCCTCACCATATCTATCATAAATATTCCTCTTCTCACTATCAGTCAAAACTTCATAAGCTGCCAAAAACAATCATATCTTAGAAATCAATTCCATAAATAAAACACCTACTTATTTGTCCTCCAACAATCATAAAATAATGCAAATACTCCATAACTAATACAGATTTGAATATAAATAACTACATTTTAATCCTTGATTGTTTAAATCATCTAATTTGACCTTGAATTGAATAATGATCATAATTTGGCGCTTGAATAAGTAATTATAACGATTAGATATCAAATTTGATCACATTTTAAGTTCAAAATAGTTCAAAACAATCCGATCAAAAATCGAATGTGATTACCATTGTTAATTTCTGCAAATTTCTTGTTTGCCTCTTCATTGCCTTGATTCTTATCAGGATGATACTTCAACGCAAGCTTCCTGTAAGCTCGTTTGATCTGATCTTCTGAAGCTCCTTTTGGCACTTGTAATACATCATAATAACTCTTCCTAAAATTCACAAAAATTAACAGATTAATCAGCTCTTCGATCATTCATATCATTCAAAAAATAATTAGAGGAGAGAGAAAATGAGCATACGCTGCAATGGCGAAGACAGTGTAAGATAAAATGCAAGCGAGAAACAACAAATTCAAACTCAGCGTCGTTCTCCGAGTCGCCATTGATTTGCAGAGGAGAGATTTGTGATCTCTCCGCTTCGATTTTCAGATTTTCTAGGGTTTTGATTAGGAAATTTCTGGATTTTTACAAATGACGATTGAAAATTCGATTGAAAATCTTCAATCTTCTCTGATAATCGGAAGAACAATCAACAAAATCTGGGAAATTCGATTTGATTGGCTCTATTGTTGTGTGAGTGATAGTGCGAGTGTAATTTGGGAGTGCTTGTTTTTGTGAAAAAAAAAAAGAGAGAGAGAATGTCAATATTCAACTGGGTATTCTAAATTTTTAACCGACGTGTTCTTCATTGAATTCGACCAATCAGGGTGCAGTTTTTGTTGTTTCTGTCCAATTGGATGATGCCACGTGGATGTTCGTTTACTTTTGGTGTTGCCGTGTTAAAAGGAGTACGAACTTACAAATTAATTGACATTTTTGGAACGTGGGAATGAGATTTAGCCATCCCAGCTCCGCAAGTCACTGTTTGAGGGCTCGAGTTTGAAACGTTAAAGTCACAAGGTGAGTTCTCCACCTAGTCCATTCAGTTTTGTTTGGTAATTCTGACATATTTAGTTGTAACAGTTGAATCCTCTTTATCTAATTGACATAATTATTTGGAGTATGTTTTTATGTAAGTAAAATTGATAAAAATTATTACTCCAGTATAAAGACATAAATTATACTTGTATCATTATGTTTACTATTTAAATCTTACGGAGTATTATATAATATTTATTTGTCTTGCATGCACATTAAGGGCACGTTCTTATTTACTGAATTGAACTGAACTGAACTGCTAAGGAGATTAATTTGATGAACCTTTGAGAAAAAATGCGATAATTTGATACATTACTATTTTGACTATTGCTAGTGGGAGTTTATGGTCAGAGTTCATAAGTTTTTAACTCCAAAAAAGAAAAAGAAAACAAACAATAAGAAATAAAATGAATCATAAATAAATCTATACACCTACAAAAGATACAAACCATATCAAGTGGTTTATATCCAAATTAATAATTAGTGGATAACTTATTTCATAAGTCAAAATTAAATAAACACATACTATACAATGCCAATTTAAGTTTGCACCCAAAAAAATAAAAAATAAAATAGAATACAATACCAATTTAAGTGATATACATACATTCGATAGTTACAAGTCATGCTTAAGTGGTTTAGAGCTCCATTAATGAATATTGGTTAGCTTATGAAGCATTTCACAAACTAGTTTATACTTAGGGCATGTTCTCATACGATTATTTTCATTTCAGCTAGTTCAGTTCAGCTCTAATAAGTTTAGTTTAGTTCAGTTTAGCTCCTAATTTCCTTCTCTTATAAAATATTCATTTCATTTCATTTCAATTCAGTTAAGTTCACCTTTAATAAGTTAAGTTGAGTTCAGTTCTAATAAGTTCAATTCTAATAAGTTAAGTTCAGTTCAGCTGAATTTAGTCATTGAGAACATACATGCCCTTAGTATACACTAAAGATATGTTCCAATTTTCTAAAAACAACTAAACTAAACTGATTGGAGCTAAACTGAACTAATTGGAGTTGAATTTAACTAAACTGAATTGAATAGAGTTGAAATGAATTGTTAATGAGAGAAAGAAATAAGGAACTGAACTGAATAGAGCTAAAATGAATTGTTTATGAGGGAAGGAAATTAGGAAATGAACTGAACTGAACTGAATTGAACTAATCGAAGTTAATTCAAACTGAAATTAAGCTGAACAAAATAGACCCTTACAAGTTACACCTAACTAGTATTGCATATATATTGAGCTTTTCCAGAATTTAATGGTTGATCAATTATTGTTCTCCAAAGCATAATAAGTAAAGTATTTATAAAGGTGTAAATATTTCAGAATAATATTGTTTTACGTTTGATATAACTAGATAATGGCTTGAGCAAAGATATAAGAGCACCATGATGAAAACCTAGTTGTAGTATCACCATTTCGAAAACATGTTGATAAAAAAAATAAACTTCAAAAATTCATCACAAAGATAAGCAATTGTGACGCATTTAAAAAAAAATCGATTTTAGAAGCTTAACTCAATTTAAATGCTTGTTTATAGACAAAGCTACTGCGGCATGCTAGCGTTGTTGCCTTGGTCGAGCCTTTGCGGATCCGTTGAGTCTGTTTAATGGAACGGTTGAGTATGACATTTTGAGTTATCCTAGTGAGGTCGCTGCCCCTAAACTCATGAAAAAATTGGTAGATATATACTTCTTAAAGGTTATCAGCATTGTGGAAATCGCAGGAGGGAGATCACACATCCGCTTGGCTTCGCGCGGTTCCTATTTCAGGGTTGGGTCAGACGATGAACACAAAGACTTACAGATGTGTGTTATGATACCGATTGGGTGTTTCATTGTTCTATGTCTCAACGTCGTGCTTTGCTTGTTCAAGGGTTTTCACAAGGGGATATTTTCTGTGATCACGCTATATTGTGTGTTGGTATGATGGGTATTAAACATCGGCACAATGTTGTTTGGGATACCCTTGTTGATGTTTGTTATCGATCAGGTATTTCAGCGAGAAAAGAGGTTGACATTGGGTTGTCCGGAGGGAATGACGGGGCTCTCAAACCTGCATATTTGTTACTTTATTCTTGGGATCGTGGTCATGATGTATGTGTTGATTTGACATGGTCTTCTCCTTTAATACAATATGGGCTATCTGACTTTGTTCCTGGACGGGTTGTAACTGATGCGGCTCATCGCAAGCGAGTCAAATATGAATTTAGTTGTTGACCAATTGGATATGGATTCCTTCCCTTCTCTTATCTTCACTCGGAGAATTAAACACAAAGGCTGTTGTATTGCTGAAACGGGTTCAGAAGTTCTCGACGACTCAGAACATTGGGGCTCGTGCTTCAGCTCATATTTTTATTAGGATAGACTTTTCTATAGCTAGAGGAGTGGGGACCCATATTGTATCTCGGCTTCCCACTAATTTTTTATAGGTTGTATAACTTTTTCTGTTTTTGAGATATTATAATTATTATAATAATTATTATTATTAAAGTACAAAATTATTTAATATTTGAAGTTATTCACATAAAGTATTATTTAATATTTTTGGTTGTGTGTTAACCTACAAATTTTTCCCTAAACTCTAGTGTATGCAGCTTCCCCTACACCTCCCCCCCCTCTATATTACGTCATTTCATCATCTAGTGACATTTTTTGCTGGTTTTTTTTCCTCTTTCTTTACTTTCTAATCAAGCAAGTATGTAAATATTTTTACATAACCAAATTGCTTCATTTTCTCTCTCCTCATTTCACCAATTTCATTTTCTCTCTCCTTGTTTTCACTGATTTCATCTTCTTTCTCCATTGTTTTTTCCCCTCTCTCTTCTTCCATGGAGATTTCGAGCTCAATTCCATGGAGTCAATTTTATAGATTTATTTTCTCCATTTTCTTTATAGTTGTATTTTTATTTTGATTTTTTTTATCTAGTTTAAATTTATGGTTTGATTGCAATTTCTTCTATTCAATTGATTTATGTATTTGTGTAATTTTTATTTGATTGCAATTATTTCGATTTTATTGATTTGAATTTAGTTAGTTGTATGTTTCCTATTCAATTACATTTGTTATCGCTATTGTTATTGGCAATGTAGGTTGTTACTTTTGTATTATTTGTTGTTTTTGTTTTTTTAAATGATTGTTAGTAGGTTCAATTTGGTAAAATTGAGTATTATTGATTTTTGCAGCAGTCTTGTATTCGTGATTTACGAAAATTGAATAGGAAAAATTATTGGAAAACTTTTATACACCGTAATTGAACATGTACTAGTTTATAAATGAACAATACTTTTTAATGATTGTAAATAAACATTTAATTATTTATAATTGAACATCTAATCATGGAGTATTAAAATTCACCTATTATGGTTAACGTATCATTTACAAATTTATTAGTGATCAATAAAAACAAACAACCTTCAAGTATTACAAATTTATTATGAACAAATAACTCTATATCTAAAAATTAATAACATACAAGTATTAAGATATGTTATAGACTATTCATTAATATGCAAATGAACATATATCAACATGAATATGTACTATTTTAATGTTCATTTATATATGCGTAAACGTTTACTATTACATTCTAGAATACGAAGTATATTTTATAAAAAAAAAAAATTAACATGTTCATGACATAATAGGTGTTTTAGTATCAAAATGAACATTTAAGTATATGTATATTTTTATTTAAAATAAATACATTTAATTGTTAAAAATAAAATGATAATGAATCATAATGAAGATGTGCATTTATCAATATAAAAATGAACAATTTTTACATGATAAATTTTTGTTTGAACAACTAGTAGCTTTATAATTACATGCATCTGTTCCTTAAAAAAAATAATAATAAAAAAAAATTACATGCATCTGATGCATGTTTTATAGGATATACACTATTTTATTGGTATTGCTAAGTAAATTTAATTGACTGTCTTTTAGTCTTCTTTATAATAATAATACACGTGTATTGAATTGAAAATGAACATATATAAATTAATATGTGAATAACCATGTTTATAAATATTGTACTTTGTAATAAATATATATCTAAATGAAAATAGATGTTTATAAATATGAACATATAATTATTTAAAAGTGAACATATGTGTCTTACAAAATGAATAACTTTATGTATGACAATGAATAAATATTAAAAATTAATTGTACATTTTTCTATATATAATAAAATATATTAAAACTTAAACAAACATCTAATAAATTAACATCTTATATCATTATTATTGCAATGTAAATCTATCTATTAAAATGAAATGATTAGAATGAAAATGGATATCTATTAATATGAAAATAAATATTATAATATAAAATACAACTCCACACATATTATCCAACACAATAAACGTTTCGATCCGAATTTGAAAAATCCAAGCCTATGTTATTGGTTCATGTTGCTTGACGAATCCATGCCTTATTGATCTCCTTATTTTTGCTGTAATGTCTTCCCTTTTTCCTTGCTATTGTGTGATCTAACTCACTATATCTACGATTCTTTGTTTAACTAATAGGAAAAAAAATTAATGTATTAGATTTGAGCAATATCAGAATAAGTGTTAAATTGAACCAATATTTATATGAATATGAAAACGAGTGAATATAATAATTGACATGATTGATATGGAAATGAAAATCTATTAGTATATAAATGAATATATATTAGTATGGAAATGACCATTTATCGATATAAAAATGAAC